AGATCTAGTGGTTGCAGTGGGTGAGAGGATGCTGCCACAGAGGAGAAACTTCCCTACTGACCCAGGTTAGTTATTAGGGCAAGGGAAAGCATATTCATGTTGTAGCCAGTGAATCCTTCCACTGGTCCACAGGGTCCCCCTTGAAGGGAAGTGTGTAGATTCAAAAACACACTGTTGTCATAAAGGGAATAGTTGAGATGGCTCATGGCTCAGTGGCGACATTGTGCCACAGCATGAGGCTTGATTGCAGTTATGTTCCTGATCATGAGAGGAAGTGGTCAAGTCATGCTTTGTGTAATGGGGCCCCAGTGGGTTTAAACTAACACTGTAAAAAAAAAATGAAGAATTCAATTAAAAATAGCTTGCAAAGAACAAGTAATCCCTTCTAAACTAAAGTTGCCAGTACAGTGCACCTTGTGCAATTTAAGAATAAAAACAAAGTAAAAACGGATAACAAGGTGTAGAGCTGGATGAACACAGCAGGCCAAGCAGCATCACAGGAGCAGGAAGGCTGACGTTTCGGGCCGATACCCTTCATCAGAAGTGGGGGAGGGGAAGGGGGTTCTGAAATAAATAGGGAGAGAGGGGGAGGCAGATAGAAGATGGATAGAGGAGAAGATAGGTGGAGAGGAAACAGACAGGTCAAAGAGGCGGGGATAGAGCCAGTAAAGGTGAGTGTAGGTGGGGAGGTAGGGAGGAGATAGGTCTATCCAGGGAGGCCGGACAGGTCAAGGGGGCTGGATGAGGTTAGTAGGTAGGAAATGGGGGTGCAGCTTGAGGTGGGAGGAGGGGATAGGTGGGAGGAAGAACAGGTTAGGGAGGCGGGGACAAGCTGGGCTGGTTTTGGGATGTGGTAGGGGGAGGGGAGATTTTGAAGCTTGTGAAATCCACATTGATGCCATTGGGCTGCAGGGTTCCCAAGCGGAATATAGGAGTTGCTGTTCCTGCATTTGGGGATGGCATTTTTGCAGGAAGGTGGGTGGGAGGAGGTGTATTCTAGGTAGCTGTGGGAGTCAGTGGGCTTGAAATGGATATCGGTTTCTAGGTGGTTGCCCGAGATGGAGACAGAGGTGTCCAGGAAGGCGAGAGAGGTGTTAGAGATGGTCCAGGTGAACTTAAGGTTGGGGTGGAAGGTGTTGGTGAAGTGGATGAACTGTTCGAGCTCCTCAATGTAACGGAGGAAGACGTGGGGTTTAGGGCCAGTGTAGGTACGGAAGAGGGATTGTTCCACGTAACCTACAAAGAGGCAGGCATAGCTTGGGCCCATTCCCTATTCCCAATTCCTTCGCTTCTGCCACATCTGCTCCCAGGAGGAGGCATTCCACTCCCGTACATCTCAGATGTCCTCGTTTTTCAAGGACCGCAACATCCCCCTCCTTCAGTGGTCGGGAACGCCCTCGACCGTGTCTCCCGCATTTCCTGCAACTCATCCCTCACACCCCGTCCCCGCAATAACAACCAAAAAAAAGAATCCCCCTCGTCCTCACGTACCACCCCACCAACCTCCAGATCCAACGCATCATCCTCCGACACTTCCGCCATCTGCAATCCGACCCCACCGCCAAAGACATTTCTCCCTCCCCACCCTTATCTGCTTTCCGGAGGGACCACTCTCTCCGTGACTCCCTTGTCCGCTCCATACTCCCTCCAGCCCCACCACACCCAGCACTTTTCCCTGCAACCGCAGGAAGTGCTACATCTCTCCCCACACCTCCTCCCTCACCCCCATCCCAGGCCCCAAAAAAAAAAAAAAAAAAAAAAGGATGTTCACCTGCACATCTGCTAATGTGGTATACCGCATCTGCTGTACCCGTTGTGGCCTCCTCTACATTGGGGAAACCAGGTGGAGGCTTGGGGACCGCTTTGCAGAACACCTACGCTCGGTTCGCAATAAACAACTGCACCTCCCAGTCACGAACCATTTCAATTCCCCCTCCCATTCCTCAGACGACATGTCCATCCTGGGCCTCCTGCAGTGCCACAACGATGCCACCCGAAGGTTGCAGGAAGAGCAACTCATTCTGCTTGGGAACCCTGCAGCCCAATGGTATCAATGTGGATTTCACAAGCTTCAAAATCTCCCCTCCCCCTACCGCATCCCAAAACCAGCCCAGCTCGTCCCCGCCTCCCTAACCTGTTCTTCCTCCCACTTATCCCCTCCTCCCACCTCAAGCTGCACCCCCATTTCCTACCTACTAACCTCATCCAAGCCCCTTGACCTGTCCGTCCTCCCTGGATAGACCTATCTCCTCCCTACCTCCCCACCTACACTCACTTTTACTGGCTCCATCCCCACCTCTTTGACCTGTCTGTTTCCTCTCCTCCTATCTTCTCCTCTATCCATCTTCTGTCCACCTCCCCCTCTCTCCCTATTTATTTCAGAACCCCCTTCCCCTCCCCCATTTCTGGTGAAGGGTCTAGGCCCGAAACATCAGCCTTCCTGCTCGGCCTGCTGTGTTCATCCAGCTCTACACCTTGTTATCTCAGATTTTCCAGCATCTGCAGTTCCTACTATCTCTGAAAGTAAAAATGGAATTTGTTTCCAGAGTACTTTCACAAACAATTGAAAAATTGCATCTTTGCTAACAATTTACAAGTGACTTAGACGCCAAAACAAACATGCACACTGTGTGCGAGATAAACAATAAAGAAAAAATGCCAAATACAGCAAGTGAGGAGCAGGAGCTTGGTTTGGAAGGTTTGATCAGCCGCAACCCTTTCACTCAGGAGAAGAGTTTGGAAATTTGCCATTACTCAGGGAAACAAATCTCCTTAATTCATAGAATAAAAGATCTCCCCTTAGAGGAATTTGGGAAACTTCAATCCAGTTTACACACAATTCATCAGAACTTGGCAAAACACCAGAAAATGGTAAACCACAAAGATAGACAAGGAAACAGACAGCACATGCACCAAGGCAAAGAAACAGTAAATCATGGGCAATAAGATGTAGGTCATATCATAAGACAACACTGAGCTTCTGATGAGGTGAATACATGAATGAACGTGTTTTCAGAGGAATTCTTCTTTGTCAAAGTATTTTCTAACACACAAACAATCTTAACACCATGCTTACAAATCTGCGAGCATTTAGGTAGGGTTTTCATGAGCTACCAAAGCTCTCCGATTTGCTTAGGATCACAAACAAAGAACCATCTGAGCACATTTTCTTGCTTAACTTGAAATGGGATGCTACGATTACAGAAAAACTGGAAGTTGAGCAGAGCCGATTGCTTTCATCAGGATAATGTCAAGAAGTTGTCCTTTAAGTATCCACTAGAACAATAAAGATTCTGGCTTTTTTTAAAAAAATGAACAAATCTGAGGTGCCTTCCTCAGTACAGAACACTCTTGAAAGGAATTGTGAACATCATCAAGTGGCATTTTACTCACCAATAATCTGCTCAGTGATGTTGAGTTCAGGTTCTGTCAGGACTACTCATCACCAGAGTTGCTGTAGCCTTAAATCAAATATGGCCAAGAGCTGAATTCCAGGGCTAAAAGTGTGAGACTGTCCCCAACATCGAGGCAACATTTGACCATGGGGATTCTACAGTCAGTAGGAATTGGGTGAATACTCCGTCGGCTGGAGTCATACCTGCATTAAGGAAGCTGGTATGGCTGATGGAGGCCAATCATCTCAGTTACAAAACACTGCTTCAGAAATTACTCAGGACAGTAACGTTTGCCCACTATTCAGCAGCTTCATCATTAACTTTCCTTCAATCTTTTGAATGGAATTGGTGAAATTAAAACAAAAATATCCATAAACTGATATCAGGAATCAGCCTGTGTGGTGGCAGCCATTTAGTTGGCGATTGGCATTTGTCAGCTCATATATGGAAACTAACTCAAGCCTCCAGGATCAACATACAGATGATAAAAGAAAAAAAGACTAGAAGATAGCCCTTTGGGTCACACATTGTGCTCCCCTAGGCTATAATCAAGCCAAAACGAATCCTACAGCTTGCTCTGTCTAGGTTTCCCTTAAAAGATGCAATCGCCTCTGCCTCATTTACTCCTTGCTTTTTTTTTAAAAGAGCGTTTCATGCTCTAGCAACCTTTGCATAAATAACGGAGCCTTTCTGCATACTGAAAATTTTACATCAATAACTCTTGGTCCACAGGCTTCCTAACCAATACTTTTAATTTCACAGTGGACTGTGAAGCAATGCAGCAGCAGCACAGCCCAAAGCAATAGGAGGGGCTGAAAACGGCACCAACTCAGTGGTTAAAACAGTCGCCGAAATTCCCACTTTTTTGCAAAATATTAACGCACATTAAAGTTTGTATCTTTAAAATTCATATAATTTGCGGTTAAACAGTGGTTCCTACAGCCCCGAATATAGGAAAAACGCATTCCATTAACCCCCAACTTACATTTTCATATGAAAGCCCAGTCAATAGATCAACGCAGCTTGTCACATTGCCCGAGGGGCCGGTAACCCTGCTTTAATTTCTCTGCGTTGAGTGAAGGGAGGGTGACATTGGGGAGGGGATAAAAAATGCTGTATCCTTTTCTGCAATACAACTTGCACGTACTCAGCACGCCAAACCCCGTTTTTGCTTATTTTGCACTGAGCCGCGCTGTAAATACGATGATTCATGATTCTAATAAATGCAGATGGATGCAATGTTATATATCACGGTCACCAACCCCCCGGTGCCATTTAACGCGTGGGAACGGGGAAGTAACGAACCGCCCTCAGCGCTTTCGAAGTACCTGCGAGCGTCCTTCCCCCTCCACTGCCGGAGTTAGTGCTGAACGCCAGCTCCCTCCCCATCCCTGACGCCGGCCCTTTTGTATGCAAAACATTGCCGGTCCATTGCGACAAGCGGTTGCCTCACTCAGTCACTTCACTGGACGTTTCCCCGCGGCGAGCGCGTCGGGAGGGCCCCCCGTTTTCTCATATAATCTGTACTTGTTTTGAAAAAAAAAGAGAAAGTTTCCCTCATCTTTCTTTTTTAAAAAAAACAGGGTGTTCAAAGGTTGGTGTTGGAGGGGGGGGAAAAGACAACAAACATTAAAACTTCTTTTTCCTCCTCAGTGCCCACTCTGCGCAGGTGTTGAATACCAGTTGCAGCTGCAGGAAGCGCGTGAGGTGGCGGTTGCTGAAGCCGTTGTTGCTAAGGGCGGTTGTTAGGGAGGCGCGCGGGGGGAGAAACAACGTGGACGACCGTGCTGAGCGGCGATGGCGGTGCCGCAGGTGAGTGAATGAGAGAGAGCAGGTCCCCGTGTCGGGGAGGGAGGAAGGAAGGAACTTGGGGCGAAACGCAAGGTTTGTCCTCTCGACCCGCCCTGGGCCTCGAAGCGAACGGCCGCCCCGCAGAGGGATTAATGGTGAGCCTTCCGTTCGGCTCCTTCGACGGGCCGAATGGTCTCCTTCAACGCTGTCACATTTATGTGACTCGAATTCGCAGGATCTGAACCAGGTCATCTATTGCTGATCAACCTGATGGCACGCACACTTCCAGGGCGGGACCAGAAGCCGGACCTTGCGGCTCAAGGGATGAAGACACTGCCACCCAGTTCATAGCATAATTGAGAACCAGGCTCAATGTAGACGGTTCAGACGGGGACGAAAGATACCAATGCAAGAAGCAAAGAGAGAGTACCAGAAGAGATTGGGAGCTAACAAATAAGAAATTCAAAAGCCTTCAATAGGCATATAAATAGTATAAGTTGGTAAAAGGGGGAGTGAGCTGATCAGGAACCTAAAAGGGATTTACACATTGGAGGCAAAGGCACTGCTGAGTTACTAACTTACTGTTTTTCATCTGTCATTATCAAGGAAGATAATGCTGCCCAAGCCATGTTAAAACGAAAGGTTATTGATGTGTTCCAAATGAATGAGTATGTAGTACAAAGCAGTAACAATAGTTCTGGTTGTGGTGGGGGATGCTGGTGAGAATGCATGAAGAAGATGTTGCATGCAATCGTGACAGTCATAGATTGTAAGCCTTGTGGGAGGTAGGTGCAGTAACAGCAATTAAGTGTGAGGTAGCAAGAGAGAAGATGCTGGCACTTATCTCTGGCAGAAGGTCACTGACCTTCCTACACTGCTGGGCATTCGTACAGATGACTCAGACTGCACTAATCCGGGTCGTGACCATGGACTGGGCTGGCAGCTTCTGGTTTCATGGCCTCCTCTGCCTTAACTTTGGAAAAGTGGAATTCTCCCGTCTGCATCACTCCCATCCACCAGAATCTCTGGCTCCCTATCCACAAATAGGGTCACTAATTTCTCCTTCTCCCAATTCCAGGGTAGATGTCTTGAACCATGCAAGATACGGACTGACTGTACTTGTTTGCGGGTAGAAGGTTTTAAAAATGGCATCAGTGCCAGGGATACCAGTGTATTCCAGGATAACCCAGCAGAGACAAGTTCTTAACAGTACGACGAGGAATTTGGACTACCATTGGACACGAGGGACACCATGGGGGGGGCGATGATAGGCAGTTAGAATCATAGAATCCCTATGGTGTGGAAGCAGGCCATTTGGCCCCATTGAGTCCACTCCAACGCTCCAAATAACATCCCACCCAGACCCGCCCCCTACCCTACCTTCATTTGCCACTCTACACACTGTGAGCAATTTAACATAGCCAATCCACCTAACCTGCACATCTTTGGACTGTAGGGGAAAACCGGAACACCCTGAGGAAGCCCACACAGACGTGGGGAGAATATGCAGCCTCGATACAGTCAGTCACTGAAAGCTAGAATCAAACCCTGGTCCCTGGCACTGTGAGGCGCAGTGTTAATCACTGAGCCACCGTGCTGCCCAAATGAGCGAGTTTGGGATGATTGCACGAGAAAACTCCCTGGGTTTCACAGAGAGCAATGCTTTATGAAACTTGAATAAAAGACTTTACCAAAATATGGTAAAGGTTAGGCCTGGCATCAATATCTGAAGGGGAAAAATAAATAAGACAATTAGGAAAAGGTGGCAGAGGGACACTAAATGAATTGCTCTTGCAGAGAACTGCACAGAGATGATGGACTGAATGGTCTTCTGTGCTGTAGCCTGCAAGCAGATCAGGTTGTGGTCTTTGAAGGAGAAAACAGAGTTAACGTTTCGGCTTGGTGACCCATCCTCATAAGTTCTGAGGAAGGGACACCGACGTTAACTCTGTTTTCTCCTTCACAGATGTTGCCAGATCTGCTGAGTTTTTCCAGCAACTTTGTTTTTGTTCGTGCTTTTTATTTGTGTTTGCTCATCCTTAGTTGGGAGTTAAAGCTTAGTTTCCAGGACTTGAGCACACAATAATTTCAGTGCAGTAGCAAAGTAGTGCTGCCTGATCTGGGATGACATGTTTCACTTGCCAAAGGTTCCATGGTGCTCTGAAATATGGTAGGGACTTGTCCTAGTCACTATTTATCACTCAAACAACACCATCAAAAAAAGACAAGCTGGCTAACTGCTCATTATTCTCATTTCTGTTTGTGAGACCTCGCTGTGCTTGCTTAGGTGTAAGCAGTAATGACACTTGAAAAGTAATTCTTAGAAGATAGATTGGATGCTCTAAGGACATAAAACGCATTTATCAAATGTAGGTTTGGTGATTGGCTCTACCCAATTACACATTAGCATTTCTGCTAAGTACCAAAATGTGCCACAATAGATAAAGGTAAAACGGTAATTGAAGGAACAACTGAGAAGTTTTCTTTGTGGTCTCTTGGAGCAATTAATTGACTTTAGACAGCGGTGAGCACCATGGGGGATACTTTGCTTTATTTCCCCCTTCAATTCATTTGATTTCGTGCCTTCTTGCTCTCCTTACCATCCTGCCCGTCACCTTGGATGGTTTGCATTGCCCAAAATGGGCTTTGCATGTAAATATTGGATTGGCTACACTGGTGAGGTGGTTATTAGTTTAAAAAAAAGTCGGGGGAAAAGAATCACAGTGATGTTGGTAGTGTGAAGGTCACTCGGTTGTGTGCAATAGCACTTCAGGGTATTAAAAAATGCAATTAATTTAACATGTCACTCATGCTCCATTTAATGTAAAATTTAGCATTTGTTTCAATTAACGGATTGTTGTCAATTCAATCAACCCTACAGGTTTGAACCAGGTACAATATGTCAGAACATCCACAACTTCTTCGCAGACCATTGCCACCAAAAGATGCAATACCTGCAAAATCCTGTGAACCCAAGAATAGACCTCCTGGTAAGTAAACTATTTTAGAGATAGTAGGACCTGCAGATGCTGGAGAATCTGAGATAACGAGGTGTAGAGCTGGATGAACACAGCAGGCCAAGCAGCATCAGAGGAG